GACAGACAAACAGACATTCAGCTTTATATATAAGATGTTGAAAATGCTATGAAACTCACATCACTCAAGCCTTTCGCAATATCTTGGCTAACTCGATGGTTGTTGTTTAGTAATTGATTTCCAAATTGTTCGAAAGCTTGAAAAGCTGCTGTCCGGGAGTCAATTTCAGTGCGATACTCTTGATGTCTCTCCAGAAGCGCTTCAGCTCCTACAAATCAAACATCGTCCAACAAAGCAGAAAATACTTGGGGTAATAGATGAGATCCATGATTCCAAAAATGTTCTAGACCCTCCCTTACTGAAGGGTCCCGGAGAGAGCCAAAAAAAAACTCCGTCTAAGGAAAGGGAAGACGTAAATTATCTGAAAACTTAGTTTTTTCTCTTTTTATGAGGTTTTCTTCATTCTTCATTCATTTTCCTGTATATCTTTCTCCACCCCTGCTTTCGCAAAAATAAGCCTGAAGAAGAAAAACAATGATATTTCATGATCAACGTCGTTCCTTTTTCGTATACCAAAGAAAAAACGTCAATGGTCCAAACTAAGGTGTTCCATTCTGTTGGCGCTACTTATTTGCCGTTCTCAAATCCTTAATATTTTCAAACCGAACAGGCGCTTACCAGTTACATCATCAGCGAGCTCCTGGCTGTCCACAAGTTTTTTCATAGTCGTAACCCACTGCATGAGCTCACGACTGTCAGAGAGGAATCGCTGATAATCGTAAGATTCGAGAAGTTTCTCCTTGCGATTGTTGGCTTTAGCAGTAAGTCTACTCCACTGTTCAATGAGTTTGCATTGCAAATCGTAGACTTGCTCAGCTGCTTCTGGGTGATTTTGACGAAGACGGTTTGCCTGAACAAGGCGACATGAATTACTCTGTGCCAGGGTATCGAAAATTAATTGATGCATAATCAGTGCATGTACTTAATCTAAAGCGGCAGAAATGGTATAAAAATCTACAAACATACCATTCGATAGAGCGAAGAAAGTTCTACTGGTGGTGCACAAACAAGCTTACAAAGTTTAGTACACACAGAGTTAGGAAGAAAAATC